GCATTACCTTTAAGAGGCAATAGAAAATAAGGGGCTGTTTGGTTCGTTTCCTTGATATAGGGAAATGCAATTCCATGTAAAGAAATATAAGTTTTGAGTTTTCCAAACTTTTCCAAGAAATAGATTGTTTTGCTTTGGTTCGCACATAAAAAATGGTGAGAAACCAATGTATTTATTTTTCTTGTGTTTGGTTCGCATAGAAAAAAAAGGAAAACTTTTGTAAACAAAGCAGAAAAGGAAAAAAATCTGACGTGGCAGAGTTTTCATCAATTTCACTCGGTTGGGGAAGGAAATTTGAGAGGGAAAAAAATCTGAGTTGGCGGTGATTTCAACAGAGTTTTCCCTCTTCTATCCGAGCGAACCAAAGCGGCACAAAGAAATGGACGGAAACAAAAAAACTGACGTGGAGGGCTAAAAATCTGACGTGGAGGGGTTTTCTGAGTTTTCCACCCCTTATAATAGCGAACCAAACAGCCCCTAAATCACAAACTTGCACAAATCCAGTGGGAAACAAGGGTAGAAGTTCTATTTAAGTTCCACACAAGCTCGAGACGGTAGCAACCTTAGACTGCTCTAGAGGGCTAATTTTCGGAAAACCTCCCTCTTAACTTTGGATTATATTAGATAATTTTACATCTTTAGTAAATTACTGAAATAGCAAAACATTATTATCAATAAACAACTACGGTTTGAAAATCAAAGTGAAGAATATTGGAAAATAAAGATTTTAACTTAATTTAAAAACAATATTAGTTATTTGATTTTTTTTCCCCTCTCTATATTTCACCATCCAAGTATATTTCTAAATTTAATCTTCAAATCCTGATATTTCTAAAAAGGCCAAATTTCTAAAAACCTCGCTTAACTTTCCATGATTGTCAATAACACCAATCGCTTTCAAGATATCAAAATGTTAAATTTAAAATGAATCATAACCATCAATTAAATTCAACTCTTGCACAAATATGCTATGATTTCAATCCAGTTGGAGACAATGTGTCAACTATGACCCAAACAAGCATAATGACAGCTAATAATGCATCTAACAAATAGCTGAACGTTATCAAACATGACAATAACATATCCTACAATGAAAGATGACAAAGCTTTCGGAATTTTACTAGCTTACGATCTTGCTTTAGAACAGATAAACATAAATTAACATAAAATCAGCAGCAGGAGTACATAATCTCAGTTAAATTAGCAGATTTACATTTATTCAATTACCCAACCTACCATAACATTACACTTCTCTAACACAGACCAAACTCTCAACTTACATTTCTCTACCTCACAGCTCATAAAGTCACACTTCTCTTAGATACCATGTAGAGAAGATAGTGAAAGGGGCATTATCAAGAACACAATACTAGCAAAAACCAGCAATTATGCATATATCATCAATCAATCACGATCATGCCATTCATCGTCCATTGCCAAATTGAACCCATATTTACGTGCAAGGCGAGGGGCGCTGCTATCTTGCATCACACTTTCAATCATCTCAAACTTATTGTAGTGTGCTTTCAATGTCTCTTCCTGCTGCTTTGCGAGCTTCTCCTCTTCGTCAAGTGTAGCCTGAAAAATGTGAAGTTCAGAAAAGAATGAGAGCACCATAGTGTGGTGAGGAAATGTTAGTACTTAAATATCTTTAATCGCCCCAGTAACTCCAGAGTTATGGCAAGAATTGTGAATTGAGGGTTATAATTTTATATTCTAGCATGCTCGACACATTGAGCGCATTTTCATGAGCCGAAACATGGACTCACTCACATAGTAGCGTTTGTTTAATCCACTTTTAATTGCACGGCTAGTGGGATTTGAACATGGATTGTGTTGATACCATTTTAAAGTCCCTTCCACTGCCAGAAAACTCCGACAACTCCAAAGATTTGGTTAAGAGTTGGGAGTTATAATTTTATTATCTAACAGTAAGATTCTAATGTGTTTTGGTAAAGTCGAGGAGTTATAATTTATAATCTGACAGTAAGATTCTAATGTGTACATTCAATTCGAGAATAAATATGCTAAGAAAGTGATTTTATTTTCGACCGGTTCATTGAATTTCTATTGGAAAAGAAAGTCAAGAATGGAAGAATGTAATATAAGTGAAAATTCATTTTTAAAAGCTTTAAAAAGTAAGGATATTATACAGGTGGGTCCTGTATACAAGTCATAGAACCAATGAAGAAAAGAAAAGTCTCAAACAACTAAACGTAATTAGGCTAACTATGCACAATACTAAACTAGTAGTTTTTTTAATTATCAACTCCTCTCTAGTACTTTGGTTTTGGAAGGTGGATCCTGTATACAAATCGTAGAACCAATTAAGAAAAGAAAAGTCTCAAATAACTAAACGTAATTAGGCCAACTATGCACAATACTAAACTAGTAGGGTTTTTTTATCAACTCCTCTTTAGTACTTTGGATTTGGAATAACAACCATTCAAC